TAATTTCAAAAGAAATATGTATACTTCTGAAATTTAAGATTTGCAGCATATTTCTTCCACATGAAATGGAAGGATTTAAAAAAAGTTATGAATGAAATTATGAAAGCAAGAAAAACCACTTTACGTGATATTATTTTAGCTTGTTTTTTATAATAAATTTTAATAATTGCATTTGTCACTAACGACTAACATATATTTTCATTTTCGTGAATAATAATAAAACAAATTGACTATATAATAATAAAATGTATGGAAATATTTGTCTTTAAGTTATACGTATGTAATAATTGTGCGCAATTATTATCTTATTGTAGCCAAAACCAGCACCTTTTTGACAAGAATGCATTGAAAATTAAATGTTTTGCGAAAATATGCTATTGGAATCTAAAACTAAGAAATTAAAAAACAATACAATTTACAGTTCTCATATCGAAAGAATGAAATTATTATATATGTAGATAAATCAAGCGACAACATTGGATCCCAATAATCTAAAATAAGCAAATGCAGAATTGATGAAATATAATACATACATAGTAATACCGTTAACCTTTCCAGTAACCATTACAAAAAATATATATTTGATCGTAGCAGGGATTAACGCAAATCAATATAATGGACAACAATTAAATTAAAAATTATTATTCAAATACAACACAATTGTTTTAATGTTCCAACTTATCCTATGATTTCCTTTTAATATAATCGATTTTAATAGCATTATAAACAATATTAACGAAAAAATGGCGACTTATAATTACAATAAACGCAATGACCTAGCTTGCTTAATTTAATTAATTTAAAAAAAATAACTGGACGACTTGTTTGCAAATTTGCCGACGAACAGAACAAACAATTAGAAATGATATTTGTTGACAACAAAATACGAATTAAAATTTATAATTCTTTCGGTGAAAAATTTGGTTCATTCATGTTAGCTTGAAAATATGTTTTCCCGTTATTTTTTTTTTGTGATTCACAAATATTTATACAAACAGATTCCCATTGGTTAAAAAAAAAAAATATTAGAAGCAATATGTAAGTTTATTGAAAGCAAATAAATGCATAAATATGTAATGCGTAATGAAAGTGAAAACAATAAATCAGAAAATTAAGAAAAATATTGTAATATTAATAAAAAAATTTAATATAGTTAAAATAAATCAATACTGTTTTTTTATTTTTTTACGATTGTTAACTTACGCTATAAACAAGGTAAGTCATTACAGTTTTCAAACGCATACATACATACATATTTACTAGGGTGATTGAATTGATTTTTCCAAAGCGGTTTCCATTGTTTTTTTTTTTAATATCTTTTGAAAAGTATTTCCACCTGTGAATAGTCGAATTTAGTCAACTAAGAGCCCAATTTTGTATCGGTGACAAAAATTTTTGTACTGATAAATTAAACTTTTTCATACATTTTTCCATAAAAAATACTGTGACAAGAATTTGTCACTGATACAGAATAGAGCCGTTATAAACAAGTTTTGTGAAATATTAAAATGAAACCTTGAATAAATAAATAAATTTCTTTTATTAGGCTTGCCACCTTTTCGAAAAGTCACACTGATCTAACTTAGTATATATGTATATTATACGAGAATTTTTTGTGAAGGTCATTAGATTTGCACCGTTCTTTTAAATAGTGGAGGTCGAAGTGAAAACCCAGGCCTGCAAATGTGGGTTGTTTTTAATATTTTGAAGTAAAAACGTTGTTATCGGTACAGGGTAGTTTGAAATTTAATGTTATTAAATACCGACACTATGCAAGACCTCGCCGGTAGTACAGTGGTTAAGAAATGTAGTCTGAAAGGCCTCTTGACTCTGAGGAAGGGCTTTCGGCAGGGCTTTTAACGCCTGAAATGACCTACTGGGTAGTTATAAGAAGGATGATAGCATGAACTGCCGGCGAAAATAGGCCACCGAAAGAGATTTCCAATATATCGTCGTATATGACCTCATGGTTGGCCAAAGCGTACACCTGCCGGGGGTGAAGTTGCAAATCCTCAGATGCTGCTTCCACTTCTTCCGCTTATGGAGAAAATTCTATTCAATGGTTTGCTTGCTTTCGGCTTACAATTGTGCACACATCGACTTCGCGTGAAGAGAAAAGTAATTCTACTTTCACAATTTCCTCTTCTGTAGAAATTTTCTTATCCGTCCTAAGATGATTTATTGGCATTTGATACACATGGTCTTAACGAATAGATCTGCGTTTCATTTACATTTCAACCACTTACCTACATATATATATGTGGACATGTGACAAAACAACTCAAGTCTATCTTTCACGGACAAAGAAAATAGCATTTGTTGGCAAAGGTCTTTTAACCATCAGGAAGAGGAATCAATTTTATTTAAATTAAAACATGCAGATGTTGTAAACAGAAATATTTTTAAATAATTTAACATTTCTTTCGAATTGCAACAGACAGACAGACTTAAGTTGTTAAGACAGTATCAATTTGGAAGGAGAGTATATCGATGGCTGAGTGGAAGATCGACCTATCTCGGCAGCCGGTTCGAAAACGCCCTATCTCAGAAAAGAACGCCCTACTTCAGGATTTTATTGAAAAACACTCCATCTCAGAATTTTGTTGAAGAACGCCCTATCTCAGAATTCGGTTCAAAACCGCCCTATCTCAAACGAAAATACATTGAAAATAAGCTGAGATAGGGCGGTTTTGAATCGGCTGCTGAGATAGGGCGTTATTTAACCAAATTCTGGGGTAGGGTGTTTTCCAATCAAATTCTGAAGTAGGGCGTTCTTGAAAAGTTTTCGGAGATAGAACGATATTGTGAGATAGGGCGTTTTGGAACTGGCTGCCGAGATAAGTCGATCCCCCACTCAGCCATCGANAAACGAAAATACATTGAAAATAAGCTGAGATAGGGCGGTTTTGAATCGGCTGCTGAGATAGGGCGTTATTTAACCAAATTCTGGGGTAGGGTGTTTTCCAATCAAATTCTGAAGTAGGGCGTTCTTGAAAAGTTTTCGGAGATAGAACGATATTGTGAGATAGGGCGTTTTGGAACTGGCTGCCGAGATAAGTCGATCCCCCACTCAGCCATCGATATAAAGTGTGGTTAGAACGATGGACAAATAAGGAAAGCGAAAAGCCATTCCCAAAATCAGCAACAGAAGTTCTTGGTAAATGTGACGACTATGTTTTTCCATTGATTAACAAACCTCTCCGCACTCTATTCACACTTCCAGCTACTTCCGAAAGAAGTTTTTCAACCCTTCGCCGGTTAAAAAACATAGTTGCATAGTACCATGAATGAATAAAGACTGATAGGTCTAGCACTTTTACACGTACACTTAGATATTGAAATTGACACTGAAAGGATAATAGAAAGATTCGCAAAAGGAAAGCGCAAAATTTAATTTGCAATTTAAATTATTACAATAAAAATTCTGAATAAGTTAAGTTACTTAATTACATACATCCTTCATTTTACCAACATTGTAAGCAAGAAATAAGTATTTATGGTAAGCAGTGCGCGCTTCCATTCCGAAGGGCCTGGGTTCAAGCCCTGGTCAAAGCAACATCACAAAAATATAGAAAAAAACTCAGTGCGTGTAGTCCCTACGCGCGGAAGAAGTGAAACTTAATAGAGGAAATTCTTCATCTTCATCATCTTCATCTTCATCTTCCTCTTCATCTTCATCTTCATCTGCATCTTCATCTTCATCTTCCTCTTCATCTTCATCTTCATCTGCATCTTCATCTTCATCTTCCTCTTCATCTTCATCTTCATCTGCATCTTCATCTTCATCTTCCTCTTCATCTTCATCTTCATCTGCATCTTCATCTTCATCTTCCTCTTCATCTTCATCTTCATCTGCATCTTCATCTTCATCTTCCTCTTCATCTTCATCTTCATCTGCATCTTCATCTTCATCTTCCTCTTCATCTTCATCTTCATCTGCATCTTCATCTTCATCTTCCTCTTCATCTTCATCTTCATCTGCATCTTCATCTTCATCTTCCTCTTCATCTTCATCTTCATCTGCATCTTCATCTTCATCTTCCTCTTCATCTTCATCTTCATCTGCATCTTCATCTTCATCTTCCTCTTCATCTTCATCTTCACCTTCATCTTCATCTTATCTTTATATTTGTTTTTGATTATATTCTTGTCTTTGAATTAGTCTTTTCCCGCCCAATTAGCGTTTAACGCAGCTATTCGTTTTCTATACCCGTCATATGCTACCTGTACCGTGGCGTTAAATATTTATCGCAAACATAACGGAGCTATAATAATAAGATTTGCTTCAATAATTTGAGTTTAACTTTTTAAACAGGTGGCCACCCTCTTCAGGCACCTCAAAAATATTTTAATTGTGTTTCTGTAAGCTCTTTCTGTACTGTATAGTATTTTAAGCGTAAGACTTTTGTATAATTTAACTAAATTTTACTTTTGAAACAGGTAGCAACCCTCCTACATTTAAGTAGAAAATACAACTTATTCAAAACCATTTCTTTTGATACCCATATTGGGATAATTCGTTTAACTTAATAAATAATTTGAATTTGATTTTCGTATATATGGCAACCCTTTAAAAGACTAAAACCATACTGCACATCTGCAGGTCGAGCCCCTTCATGTGACACCTCATTTTTGAAAATCGTACGAACGATACAGATTTTATGACTTGATGTTAAATATTTTACGCAACCCTCTGCGGCAGAGAAATTTTGAATTCGATTTTCTAACATGTGGCAACTCCTTTCATGGAACTAAGGCTATGGTGTACACCCGAAGGACAAGGCCTTTCATGTGACACCTCATTTTTAAAAATCGAACGAACGATACAGAGTTAATGGCTTGGTGTTAAATATTTAACGCAACCATCTCCGCACTCGATTAAGAAGTTTCACTTCAAAAAGGTTTTTTCTTAACAGCGGTCGCCCCTCGGCAGGCAATGGCAAACCTCCGAGTGTATTTCTGTCAGAAATTTTCTGCCATGAAAAACAGCTTCTCATAAAAATAAGTAAAAGTAACATTTATCGCAAAACACTTCAAACATATATTTGCATGAAAAATAAATTAGGGTTAGATGCCTGTAATTTAACGTTATTTGACAAGTTGATCCCAATCGCACCCAACGTATCCCCCCTGCCTGTATCCACCACTGTAATGTAGATCGTGTCTGCGTCAACCTACGTCTACGCTACGTCGTTGACGCTGTTTGCGAGTGGTCTACTCAATTATGCATGCGCTCTTGACAAACTTGATATGTTATGTTCGCCACTTCAAATATGTATTTGCTGGCAGTTATGCAAAACTAAATCAGTACCGCTTAATCTTATCAGTTTATTTCCTGAAAATTTTCCCACGTCACAAACATTTTTGATGACTGATACCAATAATACAATAGAAAGGAAGGTCGCTTTATTCTATTTTGCTATTTCATGTCAAGATAAATTAATTTTTTATTTGCTGATATTGTACTTTGTCATCCATTCAATAGTCCAGCATTCAAGAGTTGTAGATTTTTAAATAGCTAAAAGTACTAAAATGTATCTAAAAGAAAGTGTAGATTAACAAGGCTGGTACAGTCATTTCTTTGTTTTAAATATGTTATTATTTACATTGTTTTCGATAGTAAATATCATTAGCTCCTTTAGATAATTATACCCTAAAAGGCATATTCGATTATTAACAAAGAGCTTATCTAATATTTTGGAAGTTATTTACACGAACACATGTAAGCATAGAGCCGGCGTAAGTTCGTGAGGCGCTTAAAGTTAAGAATGGATTCATTATTAAGCGCATGAGCCGCTAAGTCTCGATTTTCATTTTGTGCTAGTTTTTGTACACTTGAATTTGAATTTAACTATGACTTTAATATAACTGCGGTTCATTGTAGTAGCACCTGCACTGTACGTTCTTCTATGTTTTTTTACGCTGTGTGCTTCTTATCTAAAAATTCGTATTTTACAAAACGTACACCTTGAACTGTCTGAGCAGTGGCGTTTGTTAAATGGCAAGCAAAAAGCAGCATATTTCTTGGTTGTACCTTCCAGGCGAAACGCATAAACACGCACGAGTAGAGTGTTAGCGCTGAAAATAAAAGATAATGATGATTAATAAATCACTATCACAAAAAATAAAAAGCAAAGAGATAATGTTAACAAGCGCCTGTGAGCATTGCTCATTTGAACAATCGGTGAGTTTCAATTAAAATACAACTATTTGCTGATCATGAGCTGCATTCAAATAAAGCTAACACACGTTTATTATCTTACAAATGAACATACATATGAATGTATAAGTTTTCGAATAGAACAATTGGGAATTAGATTTATAAGATAGACCCGCACAGAGGCCCACCGGTTGAACAAGTACTAGCATGCATAATTGAGCTAAAATAGTGGGCATTGAAATTATTAATGAAAGTACATACATATGTATATGCTGGTGACGAGTGTAAGGTGATTTTCCGTTATCGGTGAATTCGGTGATTTTATAATCACCGCGATTGTGAAGTGCAATTGCGATTGCCGTGTTTGAATCGGAATTTCAGAGAAATAGTAGAGAAAATTAACTTTGAATGCTTCCAAAATTATCGTACAGGTATTTTCAAACTTTTTATTTCAAGAATGGTAAAAATATGAATTTTTGAAACAAATAAACGTAAAACTCGTTTACCACATTTGTTAAAAATAATACTGCAGCTACTTACAAGTACAAATCCTTTGCAGCATAAATGAACATGTGGTGAGTTTTTTTTTGCAATATACACTGCTAAAGTTTTTTTTTGTTAATTTATAATACTACTTTTCGCTTTCTAATTTTGAACCGAATCGGACCACAAAAAAAGGGGTCGCCAAATATCTCGTCTTCTGCACCACCCATTGAACAAAATTTTTTCTTTCATATAATATACATTCTACATATTGCTAGCGCTGTTTTTTTCATAGGTTGTATTATCATTGTTATTATTATATAAGCTTTCTTAAAATAAAATAAAAATATTCTACATATGAACAAAGTCAGACAATAAATGCGTGAAATATCGCTCATCACCAGCAGTAAGTGCATAAGATAATTTAGGTAGGCCTTCTTAAGTAAAGCCATTATAAAAGCATACAGACGGCAGCATTGATTCGGATCAACTCGGGAATTAACTGCAGTTGATCCGAATTAAGTCCGAGTTAATCCGGATCAACGCTGCCGTCTGTTTAAGCTTTAAGAATCCTACCCAAGAAGGGCTGAAAAAGGGCTTCGTTGCATGCCTTCTAGAAGGGCTTATCCATTTACACTTTACGGGAATGCATTACAAATGAGTTTGAATAAACATTTTAAGTTGCAATAACACATATTTTTGGTATAATCCTTAAGCAAATACTTTAAAGATATATGATTTCTATAAACTAAAGAAGGAACTTTAAAAGAACTCCTCCTAAAGGCCTTCTTCTTTCGGAAAGGCTTTTAAATGTATGCATTTGCGTGTGCACGTATTCAACTATCCTAACTAAAACAGAACGCTTTTATCCGTATTGACCAACTTACCAAGGGTCATCCTGCCGGAGATGAATTTCGGGTCCTTTTTAAAATCTGCAATTGCTGCAAGCGGAATTCCCCAATTAGCCACTGGCCCCCAAAAATGTGTGCTACGCGAGATTATTAGAAGAAATAAAATAGCATTTATGAAATGTAACATATAAGATGTTCAAACCTCATTAAATAATCACGAAACTCCTTGCTCTTAAGGCTGTTCACCAATCTGCCGACAAGGTTTTTATTAGGTGCCCGTTGTGCCATCTTTATGTTGTCTTTCTAGTCTGGTTTGATGGAATCACTTCACTGGCTGATCTAGCTCGACGTCTACAGACTGGGAAATTAAATGTAAATATTAATTTTATATTACAAAATTGTTATCCAAATTTGACTTTCTTTTTCTATTACACTGCCATATAATAGGTATATTAAATACCTATGCTACACTTTAAAAGATTAGGATGGCGATAGCTACCTTTTCCCGCAACACGTTATGTAAATGACAATGTCGAAACGGCTAGCGACAATTAAATGCCCACCAAAACAACTCGAATCCGAACCAGACAGTTCACTTGAACACAAGCAAATATTTGCAAACATCAATCAGCTGCCAAAGTATTTGACGTCTAAAATAATAAAAGTCATCTGGTCACCTCACTACGCGCGGTTATGCCAGAGTTAAACAATTTTTAAATTTAGGTAAAATCTTTACATTCTGATGGTGTGTACTGAAAGTGTTCACAATTTATATGTTTGTTTGCCTTTCTGCGAAGAACGTAACGCTATGTTAATCTATATTAATGTTTTTTGCTTCCACTAAAAGCAAAATTAATATTCGTATTCACAATGTGCACACCGAAACTTGGTACTAGCGATGTTCTGAATTGTCGGTACCCAAAACTCGGTACCCAAGACTTAAATAATAGATTTCGACACCCAATACTTAAATTTTGGTACCCGATACCGATTCATTACATTAAACCCTTCGCCATGGAACAAATGCAGAATACCTACAATTCTCAAAAAAAAAAAATCATATGGGGATCGATAGAGATCATTGACGTGATCGTTGCGGGATATTTTTTTTTTGAGAAACAACAACTACAACAATTATTAAAGGCCAAAGTTCCAATTAGGCATATTTTTAAAACAATATTTCTTGAAAACGCTTTCCTGCGTAGGAAGTCTTCGACCGCACTTAGGGATTATTACCCTCACGAAGTAGAATTATCTTTCTGTATTGCGAAGCATAGGCGCTGAACACCTTTTGCAGAGAACACCTTTCTGCGTAGGCCGCACTTATGGATTATAAGAGGCATATGTACAAACATGTACATCAAATTAAGGAGAATTAAATTCTCTATCGAATGGCATCAAAATCCTGCAAATCCATGAAGAGGTTTCCAACAAATATTGATTTAACAAGTGCTTAATTTAAAGTTTGACCTTCAATAATTGTGGTTGTTGTTGCCGTTTCCCAAAAAAAAAAAAAAATATACCGCTACGCTCACCTCAATGATCCCTATCGATCCCAATATGATTTTTTTAATTTTGAGAATTGTAGGTATTCTGCTTTTATGCCCTTCGCCATTATATGCATTTCAAGTTTATAAAAAGCTTTCATTACTGCATTAGTTAGGTTGTTCCGTAACCAGTTAGGTTAGCGACAAGTTTCGCATCGATGTCGCACTTATTTACGTAAAATATTTCATATGATACGTCAACAAAACCGATACCGATTCGAAAATTGTCTCTAACTGGTTAGAGAATCTGCCCGCAGGCCTACAAAAATGAAATCCTCCGATTCAGCTGGAACAAAAATGCTTCAAAGAAGCAAGAGTTTCCCTGTATTATGGCCTCGAACCGACATACATATTTACATCTTTCATTTGAATCAGTATTAAAAGCTCTATTGGCTCCTACTCTCGGGTTTTGATATGCGAGTCTCCCCTGAACCGTTTTTTCCATATTTTTGGCCTATGCGCGCTCTTATTCGAAACCAAAATGTTTCGGTACCAAGTATCGAGAGTATAGAATACTTTTTAAATCGGTACCGATCAGTACTTAAGTGTATTGACTTAGCACATCACTACTGGTACTCGGTGTAGGAATGAAACGATACGAGTAAATACAAGAACACACTCGATACTTTTCGATCGATACCAAGCAATTTTGGCATCGGTACATTTGAACCAAGTACTGAGTAGGTATCGAAAAACAAATACTCGTATCGAAACCCGATACTAAGGCAAATGTGGCTTCGGCAATTCTTCGTCCATTGTTGTTTCGAATATTAAGCGCCCATTGTTCTTTATAGCTGTTAAATTGCCAACCAACAAATGCGACACAGTCGATATAGTGCAAAGAATACACGCTCCAATTTCTTCACCAAAGTCGATGTAAAGCGACTATACACGGTCGAACTGTTCGAATGGAAGAGTGACTGGATGAATGTTCAGTACAGACATATCAACCAGTGCTGCCGCGTCCAAAAATAGAATTTAACAAAATCTTTCAAAAAGTTTAACAAATCCAGTTAAAATTAAAATATAGTTTGGAGTTTACGATACCCAGATAATGGTTAGCTTATGGCATAAAATAAAAAATTTAATAACTTACTTAGTTCATAAGGAATACCTTCATAGCCAAAAGTATCGATATAAGTAGATATAGATACCTTAGATCCGATATTCTTCAGGTATCGATATTTTTCTTCGATATTACTTCCAAGTAAAAGTATCGATACCTGCATGGTATCGCTCATCCCTAGCTCGGTGTTCGGTAATTTTTTCCCATGTATTTTCTTTGCGTAAGTCTGGGTTCAGACAGAGAAACTTTTGTCACGGCAGCTTGTTACTTGTGGCAAAGAACGTAAATCTAGTTATATAGATTTACGTTCTTTGCTTGCCGGAAAAAGAGTGGCGAGGAATGAAGAAGGGCACCGAACAAATGTAAAAACCGTAACACTAACACGTAACAGCAAAACAAATACATGAATCAGTGTTTTGACGACATCGTTTAGTTAGTATCGTTTGAACGGCTATCGTTTCAAAGTTACGTGATTCATGCCCTGAATTCTACTGCAGATGTAAGAATTTCATTATTTTCGTTTGTTAACTGTGATAAGTCGTATGTTCGTCGTCTGTTCATTGTAAACCGTATAAACATATAATTGTGTAAATCTTATAAACAGACGTAACTATTATAAGAGAAAATAATAAAAGTCAATCAATAATTATTATATTAAGATAAATATTTTTGGAGTCTTCTATAATTGTTATTGAAGGACTTAAATTATAAAAGTCCTTTCATAATAATTATGAGAGCGCTAAATATTTTTAAGTCTTCTAAGACTTTTATCTTAAGACTTATATTATAAAAGCTTTTTCATAATAATTATCATGGAGATAAATATTTTTAGGTTTTCAAAGTCTTTTATTTGAAAATTTATATTATAAAAGTGTTTTCATAATAATTATGAGGGCGAAAAAATTGTTTAACTCTTAATAGACGGGCAGCATTTCAGGATTAGTTGGGCACCAGTTCGGGGCTAGGTGGTGGCCAGTGCGGGGCTAGTTCGGGGGTAGTTTGGGAACAGTTGGGACTTGGTTTTGGACCCGTTCGGGACTATACACAAAATTTTTCCGCACTGATAATTACTATTAAAAGACTTGTATAATATAAGTCTCAAAATAAAAGTCTTAGAAGACTAAAAAATATTTATCTCAATGATAAGTATATAAGTCTTAAAAAAACACTGTATGGCAAAATCAACTTTTTTCTGGGTATTGGGCCAAACCAATTTTTATTTAAGAGATTGAGTCATAGGTAAAAAAGTAGTTTCTCCGTTTTTCGAAGTTAGCCTCCGAAATCGGGATATGGGCCTTCGCTATTCTGACTGGAGCTGGAGCTGGTGGTATTGCTCAACGTCATTTTACACAGCCGTATTGCTTTCGCGGGGATACTAAGTTCAGACATCGCGGCATAAAGGCAACTTCTCTTCGTGCTGTCGAAAGCGACTTTGAAATCGACAAATAGATGGTGTGTGTCGATCCTATTCTCGCGGGTCTTTTCCAAGATTTGGCGTATTGTGAATACCTGATCTATGGTGGATTTGCCCAGCCTAAAGCCACACTGATAAGGTTCAATCAGTTCGTAGACGGTGGGCTTCAGTCTTTCGAAAAGACTTTATAACCTATGCTTAGAAGGCTGATTCCGCGGTAGTTGATGCGAATGGCGGGGTCGCCTTTCTTGTGGTTGGGCAGAGCACACTTAAATTCCAGTCGTCGGGCATGCGTTCATCTGACCATATTCTGCATACGAGCTGATGCATGCACCTCATCAGCTCCTCGCCGCCGTACTTGAATAGCTCGGCTGGCAGGCCGTCAGCTCCAGCAGCTTTGTTGGTTTTCAGCCGCTAAATCGCTATTCGAGCCTCGTCATAGTCAGGCGGTGGGACAGCTACTCCATCATCATCGACTGGGGGGGTTCGTGCTCTCCACTACTTTCAGCGCTGCTACCACTCAGTAGGTTGTAAAAGTGTTCCCTACACAATTTAAGTACATTTTGGACATCGGTCATTAGGTCGCCATTGTTGTTCTTACAGGAGTTCGTCCCGGTCTTGAAACCTTCCGTAAGTCGCCTAACCCTCTGGTAGAATTTTCGGGCGTTCTTTCCGTCGGCCAGCATCTCAAGCTCTGTGTACTCACGTATTTCGGCTGCTGACTGTGCCTCACAGATCAGTTGTGCCCGACGAAGTCTTAAGTGACTAATGCATGACATTCGCTACGGGGGATATTTATTTTAAAGAAAACACAGACATTCATTTCTATCATTTATTGTTACTTATTTTCGTTTTTTTTTTTGGTAAGTTATTTTGTTAAAAAATATACTTAAAGTAGAGCATTTCTCATACATAACCGCAGTATCTTTTATTACAATTGCTTGCTTGCATAATTTTAAACGCATAGAAATGGTGGCGATAAGCTAGAAATTTAATTAGCTTACAATTCTTGAACTGCTAAAGAAAATATTTGGCCATTTTTACATTTATTTCACGTACACGTACAAACATACATAATTTGCAATCTTTAGCTTACACTTCATTTTGTTTTTGCAATTAAGTCTAAACATATTTTCTTTAACAGCGTCTCAAAATATTAATACTTCTCATTGCTTAGAAAAATACTTATGGCTTTAAAACCATCTACTGGCTACTTGGAAGTTAATTTCGTAATAAAGTTACGCTTGACATACGACATAAATACATGAATAACAATTTAAAAAATGTACATATTTATAAACTTCTAAATAAAAGTTATTTGTTTTGCAATTTTAATACATAAAACATATTTAAAAGTTTAATCAAAATACTGTTTATATGATAGCAGTCCATAGCACTTGGTGTGGGTTATTAATATTTATTGGTTTCCGATAAAAGGGTGTTCTTTACTATCATGCCTATATATCGATTTTTATTTTACTCAAAATCTTCCTTAAGAAATCGAATTAAAAAGCTAAACATTTTTCCGAAAGTTTGTTGATTTTGTTTTTTTAAATATTGCTCAAAGTTTGAAACTTAGATTTATGTATATGGTTTTGTTAAAGAATAAACTATCCATTCCAGTGT